CTCATTATTTATTTAATGACTTGAATAATAACATAGAAAGTCATAGTCCAAATTTGCTGATAAGTTATTTGGCATTGTAGGCAGTGCAGATGATAACATTGGCTACCCTCTGAAGTGGCCTAACAAGTCATTCAGTTCAATGCAATTAGGAATTGGCAACAAATGCTGGCTGAATAGCAGCACTGACAGCATCCCACACAACAGTAAGGGGAGGGAGAAAAGGCTCCTGAATTTACCTAACCCTGTCAGCATATTCTGTCCTCACTTAGATAGTTGGCATTTTTCTCTACAGGAAATCTAGACATGAGCAACTTTAATTCACCTGTGTGGAATGGGTTCAATTTTGAATTGAAGTAGTGTCCTATAGTTTACGCAGGCTGTGGGGGACAACTTGCTGTTGCCTAAGAGAGGTTCTTTTTTTGTTTGATGCCTTGAGTGTAGTTGATCTCAATTTTAGCTATTCTGACCCCAAATGGATATAAAATAAGCACATTAGGTGAGCAATGGCCTTCAGTTTTATTGTGGGCTATTGCTTTACCTTTCACTCTCTCCAATTTTTATTATGTCAAATACATCTTGAAACTCAAAATATGGTTTGAACGTTTTTGTTTTCTTTTTCATTCTCTTTACAGAAATGAGTCAGGATCTCGTGTCACATGATGAATAGATTATGCACAAACCACAAAAACCTCAGCTGTCCCAGAATTTAGTAATTTCATTTGTAACCTGGTTTGGAAGTGTCATTGGTGCTAAATTGTTAGCACTCATTTCTGTTATGAGATTGTAGTGAGTTAGGAGGAAGCAATGGCCTAGTAGTGGTATTATCACTAGACTAGACTAATAATCCAGCAAATTGGCTAATGTTCTGGGGAGCCGGTTCAAATCCCACCACGGCAGATGGCAGAAATTACTCCATCAAACCATTGTCAATTGTCGGAAAATCCCATCTGGCCTGCCAGTGTCCTTCAGGGAAGGAAATTTGCCATCCTCCCCTGGTCGGGCATGCTAAATGTCTTTCTGGACCCACAGCAATGGGTCTGAAGTTGACTGCTGTCGGAAATGGCCTAGCAAGCCACACAGTTCTATTAATCGCATGAAGTCTCAACGAAGAAATGAAATGCCTGAGCACTGGGGAAAACAATGGCAGAAACAACTGTCAAAGCTCTTTTTACGAATGTCTGGGGGCTAGTGCCAAAATTGGGAGTGCTCTGTCTCAGACTAGTCCAGCAACAGCCTGACACAGTCAAACTTTACAGACAATGTCCCTGACACCACCACCACCATCATCCCTGGATACATCCTGTCCCACTGGCAGGACAGAGCCAGTGGGGGGTTGTCCTGGGAGTCCTCAACATTGATTCGGGACCCCAAGAAGTCTTGTGGCTTCAGGTTAAACATTGGCAGGGAAACCTTCTGATTACCACAAACTGCCCTCCCTCAGCTGATGAATCAGTACTCCTCCATGTTGAACAATGCTTGGAAAAAGCACTGAGGGAAGCTGTGGTGCAAAATGCACTCTTGGTGGTGGATTTCAATGTCCCCCACCAAGAGTGCCTCAGCAGCAGCACTATTGATTGAGCTGGTCTGGTCCAAAAGGACATAGCTATTAGACTGGGCCTGCAGCTGCTGGTGAGGGAACCAACAAGAGGGAAAACGTACCTGACCTCATCTTTGGCAATCTGCTGGCTACAAATGCATCTATGACTGTATCAGTAAGAGTGATCACCACACAGTCCTTGTGGAGACCATGTCCTGCTTTCTTTTTGAGAATTACCTCCATCGCGTTGTGTGGCACTATCACTGCTAAATGAGACAGACTTCAAACAGATCTAGCTACTTGACTGAGCATCCATGAGGCACTGTGTGCCATCAATACAAACTGAAATCACTGGGTAACGGCAAATTCTGCTGGTTGAAGTCATACATGGAACATAGGAAGATTGGTTGTAGTTTTTGGAGGGCTGTCATCTCAGCTCCAGGTCATCTTTGCAGGCGTTCCTCAAGCTAATTTCCTAGGCCCAACCATCTTCAGCTGCTTCATCAGTGGCCTTCCCTCCATCGTAAGGTCAGAGGTGGGGATAGAGGAGGCGATGGCCCAATGGTATTATCACTGGATTGTTGATTCAGAGACCCAGATAATGTCCTGGGGACCTGGGTTCGAATCCCACCATGGCAGATGGTGAAATTTGAATTCAATAATAATAAGATTCTTAATTCCAGATATTTAACAATTACTGTGAATCCATTGTCAATTGTCAGGAGGAAAAACCCATCTGGTTCACTAATGTCCTTCAGGGAAGGAAACTGCCATCCTTACCTGGTCTGGCCTACATTTGCTGTGGGTCGGGAGTCAGTGTGGTTGATTCTTAATCTGTCCTCTGGGCAACAAATGCTGCCTAGCCAGCAATGCCCACCCCCTGTGAATGAATAAAGGGGGAAAAAAAATGTTGCAATCAACAGTGCGCATGTTCAGCACCATTTGCGATTCCTCAGATACTGAAGCAGTCCATGTTCAAATGCGACAAGATCTGGACAATATCTAGGCTTGGGCTGACAAGTGGCAAGTCACATTAGTGCCACAAATGCCAGGTAATCTAGCCACTGCCCCTTGACATTCAATAGTGTTACCATCACTGAACCCTTCACTTTCAGCATCCTAGGGATTACTATTGACCGGAAACTCCACTGGATTTGCCACATAAACAGTGGCTATGAGAGCAGGTCAGAGGCTAGGAATACTCCCCTCCTGACTCCCCAAAGCTTGTCTATCTACAAAGCACAAGTGAGGAGTGTGATGGAATACTCTCCACTTAACTGGATGGATGTATCTCCAGCAACACTTCACGATTGACACCATCCAGGACGAAGCAGCCTGCTTGACTGGCACCACGTCCACAAACATCCACTCCCTCCATCACTGAGACTCAGTAGTGCCGTGTGTATTATCTACAAGATGCACTGCAGAAATTCACCAAAGATCCTTAGACAGCACCTTCCAAACGTACAACCACTTACATATAGAAGGAGGAGGGCAGCAAATACATGGGGATACCACCTGCAGATTGCCCTCAAAGCCTCTTGCTATCCTGACATGGTAATATATTGCCATGTTGGATCACAATCCTGGAATTCCTTCTCTAAGGGCATTTTGTGTCAACCTACACCATGTGGACTGCAGTGGTTCAAGAAGGAATCTCACCAGCACCTTCTCAAGGGCAACTAGGGATGGGCAATAATTGCTGGCCAACCAATGACACCCATGTCCCATGAATTAATTTGGAAAAAAAAAAAACACCTTTGAACTCTGCAGTCTGTGCAGTGAAAGTACTTCTATAGTGCTGTTCAGTTAGGAGTTACAATATTTTGACTTTGTGATAGTGGAGGAACTGCAATTTTTAGTTCTGTATCAGAATCATATACAATCCCTACAGTGTGGAAACAGGCCTTCGACCCAACAAATCCACACTGACCCTCAGAGCATCCCACCCAGACCCATCCTGTGTAACCCACCTAATCTACACATCCTGAACACTATGGGCAATTCAGCATGGCCAATCCACCTAGCCTGCACATTTTTGGACTGTGGGAGGAAACCCACACAGGCAAGAGTGCAAACTCCACACACAGTCGCCCAAGGGTGGAATGGAACCCAGGTCCCTGGCTTTGTGAGGCAGCAGTGCTAACCGCTGTGCTACTGTGCTCCCCCAGTTGTTGTTTTGGGGGAGAATTTTCAGGTGATGCTGCCTTGTGCCTGTAGCCCTTGTTCTTGGTTAGAGGACATTTTTTACCTGAAGCAACTTTCTTTAAAAGAAAAGTTGCTGAAAGTAAAGACTGTTGGGAACTATGTGCTGAAAATTTGGCATTTCTAAACCAAATGCCTAAAGTGACGCACATTCTAGTACGATGCTTAATTTGCATATGGAGTAACTAAAATGCAATATGTTTATATCAAGAGGAAAAGTGAAATTGAAGTAGACTTAATTGTCACTTTTATACTTTCTTTGTACAATTTTCAGTAAAGTTACTTTTAAAACATGTTTACTTAAGGTGCGTAGAATTATGACAATGTTTTGATTACTTACTCTAGAACCAAACATAACTATAGAATGTGAAATAATTGTCTTCTACATGTTAGAAACAGTAATGATTGTGGCCTATAATGATCGGTGTAGCTGTACCGCTCAAAGTAGTTTATTTAGAACGTGATGGTGTCTGTTAAAATAATTATTTTAAACAGGAAAGTGGGGGATCATGAGCTTTTTATTCCCACAATGTAAGGACACCACCTCTCATGCTCTTTTTTTGAAAAAAAAAATTAAGACTTTTACTCCTGATGACGCAATCTACAGGAAAACTTTGGGATCAGTAAATGAGATGTTAAGGAGCTACCTGCAGCTCCTGAATTGCAGACCCAGTTTTAGGTGGTAGAGGTCACAGTTTTATTAGATGTTGTTGAAGGGCTGTTGGTGAGTCTCCAAAATGTGTCTCGGCGATAGTACACTCTGAAGCCAAATTGTGAATGTCTCGGGAGTAAATGTTTAAGGTCTTATTTAATGTTTGTATATAAATGAATCATTGTGAAATGCTTCTGTGATTTAAGCAGCACTTAACATTATTAAATGTGGAGAGAACAGTATTATTGCATGTAGGACTCCATGCAACACTTCCATGTTCCGCAGTGGATAAGGGTGGGGGAACATTACAACAGTGAGCATTCGAAGCCTGTGGGCTTCTGTGCCTGCACTGTTAGTTAATGGTATCTGAGATGATATGGAAGTGACAATAATTAAAAAAACAGTCTTTTGGTTACATTGTCAACCCCTTGTACCGTTGTACTGTTGTATTGACAGGCCTGGAAGCAGATTGTGTGACCACCAAGAGACTTGGTCAGTGAGTGACATGTGGGATTTATGCAGCAGTTAATATATATGTTAGTCATATGTTGAGGCCTTGCAGTTTTAGCCAAAGTACATTTATTTTGTACTTTTTTTATTTTTCAGGCCGACCGTACAGGGGCAAACCCAGTGACATGTGGGCACTTGGCGTAGTGCTCTTCACCATGCTTTATGGGCAGTTTCCATTTTATGACAGCATACCTCAAGAGCTTTTCAGGAAAATAAAAGCGGCTGAATATACCATCCCAGAGTAAGTTGATGAGTTTTGTCTTTGGCTTAAAAATATCTTTTGTGGACGTATTATAATTTGTGGTTTTATTTTAATGTTTTTTTTCTTATCCTGTCCTATCCTCTGGATGTTGACTATAATACATAAGAGACAGCTGCATGGAACAATTCTTGCTGTGAGATATTTTGAGAAAGACCCTCTAGGTTTTTTGCTGTTTTCACAAGCCAGTTTAACACGTGGCCACATTCATAGAATCCCTACAGTGTGGAAACAGGCCTTTTGGCCCAATAAGTCCACACTGACTTTCATGCATCCCACCCAGACCCATCCCCCTATAACCCACCTAATCTATACATCCCTGAACACTACGGGCAATTTAGCATGGCCAATCCACCTAACCTGCACATCTTTAGTCTCTGGGGTGGAAACCGGAGCAAACCCATGCAGACATGGGGAGAATGTGCAAACTCCACACACAGTTGCTCGAGGGTGGAATCGAACCCGGGTCCCTGGCGCTGTGAGGCAGCAGTGCTAACCACTGTGCCACCCTTTCATTACAGATAGATCAAGAGACATTTAACCAAGTTAAAGGTAGATACATTATTTTTCTTAAATACAGCTGAAAGCAGTCTGCTTATTCATAAGGTTTTCACTTTTAAAGGAAGCTATTCAGCTTGTCCATGTAGAAAGTCCTTGAGATCACTTAATTGCAGCAAGTAACTTCAGTGATTCAATGGCTTTTATTTCATTGCATGGGAGTCTATCCATGTGTCGATCACACCTCATATAAAGCGTTTTCTAATATTTTCAATTTTTACCTTTTTGTTGGTTTAGATCTGTCATGTTGTTTCACTCTTTGGATGTGCCTTTTTTATTTTGAACCATTTAACAATATTGAATATTCCTAAGAATACCTTTTGTCTGCCTTCAAAGCTGAAGAGCTCAAATTTCTCTACTGAGGCCTCAGAGTGGGGCCGGTCCTGCCTCCAGGCCTTGAATGTTTTGGTGAACAGAGCTGGATGCAGTTGAGGTGCTGTCTGACCAGAGCACTGCATTAATTGAGCACTATTTCTTCTTGCTTGTATTGGATCTGCAATTCAGCAATTAATGGGCCTAGTTTGCAGTTCTGCATTGTTTGCCCATTGCTGAAAGCTGTATCTATGAAGGCTCGTGGATCCATTTTGTTTTGTTTCTTCCAATCTGACCACTTTGCTATGCATTCAAGAATCAATGCATCGAGTCAAAGCCTTGTATCTGTTTTTTTTTGCTTTTTTAAAATTTTGTTTTTAATGAGCTGACTTGTCTGTTTTTTTTCTATTTTTGCTTGCATATGGTGCAAATTTGTAATTCTGTGGAAGTGTTGCTGACCCTGACCATTTGAAGGAACAGAATTGCATGTACAACTAAAATGAACAAAGTTGCTGAAATTTCTGGGAGTGGGATTGGTGACTGTGTAGCTTTTATCGCTGATGAGTCAGTTGCCACACGTCAGCTTTCTGGTTATTAGTCAGTGTTTAAACCAGCACTACTCGAAACAACAAACACCATGAAATGTGTCTTCAGAGTTCTTTAAAATATGCTTCCACTGTTAAAGGAATTTGGAAATGCTTCAGTTTTCTTTTGTGAACATGATGAATCTGTCTTTGTTTCTCTGTATACCGTCTTTGGGAGTGGTCGATTTACTGCACTTTGTCAGCCTATTCAGCTGAATGTTAAAATGATGTAATTCAGAGACAGCACTTTGGGATCTCAGCAACACAAGGACAAATACATTACTGTGTTGCCTCATCCAATTCAGTCCTGAAAGCCAGCCAGTATGATTTTGCAGCCTCTTGAACAATGTCTATGCTAGTTTGTGAAGAATTGCTAGTTGGGCAAGATGCTGGAATGCTGTGGCACCTGTAGGATTACTTCAGAAATTAGTGGTACCTTTTAAGGAAAGACAGTTCAACACTTGCTCTTTGATTTCACAAATAAAGTGTAGTTTCGTGTTCTTTTTGCAGTTAGAAAATTCCTTTTTCAAACATAGATCACTCATTTGTAGGCAAATGCAATAACCGGTCTATGCACAAAATTCTGTTTTTTTTTTTTGGAAAACAGAAATTGTGGTGGATGACCACTAGTTCCATTTGGGTGGTTAGTTGCAAACTGATGAAAGTGAAACCTGGGGAAAGTTCCAGTAGGTCCATTTTATCCAATAGTGCAACTGGAATCTTCCAGTAAACTGACCTGTCTTCCCCTCTCCATCCACCAGTCGTGCAATTGCATGAGCTAGGAGTGGAATGAAAACACCAAACAAATGTAGGGATTTGAAACAAAGACTGGTAAATTCCTCCCCAAAGGATTTGTTAAATCTCATAGTTTCCAACAAGAGTCTGAGTCGTGGGGTGGTTTCAGTTAACCTTTACAGCTTAGCTTTGAGTACATCTTCATTTCTCCGGAGCAATAAGGCATGCAAAAAGTTTCTAAGTAGCTTATTTTATACAGCTGAAAGTGCATCCCTTACCACACCCCACCCTAATTTACTATTGGTCAGCAGTGCTGCGTTATCCCATTGTAATTGGATCGCTGGTACAGTTCTTGCTTGCTTCAGCAATTTACTTGCTGTACGCTGTTTAGTTGTTGGTCGGTCCTTAACCTGAAGGAAGTACGCTGAGTTCAGCAATTTCAATGTATTTCCAGTTAAACTAATCATATCACTGAACGGCAAAGAGATGGACAAGTTTGTGGTCCACCCCTGGTTCTCCATGGTTTCATGATGTCACCAGTCTCTGTTATCTTCCTGTAATGATATGGGGCTGCTTTTACTATCTAAGACTAGTTTGAATATTTTCCTGTAATGTGTTTTAGCAAGTTTTTTTTGTATATGAGCAGATCTGTAACTACTTCGGAATCCATATTTATGATTATCTGAAGAATCTTCACTAAGATCTACTCTTGGTATTGTAACAATTAAGTAATTCAAGAGCATTAATTAATTAATTAATGGGAAATATTCTTATCTACGTCTTGTGCGTAAATACGTGCAGCTGCATGTTCTATCTCAGTCCAGTAACCTTGAGTCTACAGAGCAACTATTGTTCTACTTGTGAAGACTGCATTAAGCAAATATTTTCCCAACCCCTGTGACTACTGTCAGCCATGGTCTGGTGCATTAGCTATTGGCAGTCCTAAAAGGATTCCACAGTGACTTGATGCAACATCTTGCAGTATCATCTATGTCAGCTGTATTCCTATACTCTACATTGCTTGAAATTGAGGGAGGAATGTTGTTGGCCGTGATGGCACTTTTTCTGATCACTCAAACTGCTATGGGCTTTCCTTTAGCCAGCTGTACAGGCAGACATGCCTCACCTAAAAGACCGCATCAGTAACTATGCAGCACTCTAGTGGTATTGTACTGATGTGTTGCCACAAATTGTACTCCATTTCTGGCATGTGTCTTGTGTCCACATTCTACTGAAGTGAGAGCACTGAGGTGAAAAGAATGATAAGCTTCTCAGGTCAGAGAAATCTTGTAAAATTATTCTAGTCAGAAAGTCCTCTGATTCCAAACTGAATAGTTTTGGTTGGAATGAGTGAACATCGGCATTGTAACTATGATGTGAGAGTGATAAATGACTGGGTGTGTTACTGCTGAATAATCCTTGGATGTGACTCTAAAAGAATGATTCAACTCTCTAAGACTTGATCATTCCCTCTGGCAGTACCCTGATGGCGCCAGCCCCTTGCTAAGTTAAAAGATAATCAGATGGAGGAGGCGCAACTAAGCATGTTAATTGCAATCCTTTTGTAATAATTAATTGTGGAGTCTGATGCTGAGAACAACTTAGTGTGCCCTAGGTTTGACTGTAAATGCAGAGTGAAAATTTAAAGCCAGGTGCTCACTAATTGACTTGAGATTTGCAAGAAATATTTTGCTCTGTGTTCACCACTTCAGATTTGTATGCCAACCTGGCAATTTTCTGTTCCTGCCTTTTTAAAGAACGGTCGAGTGATTTTCTTTTTTAAAAGAAACAAATTCCCATTTCACAGACATCTGCTTTATAATTAAAAGCAAAAACAGTACTTGGAACAATTCACTTATTGATCAATGATTTGTTATGGTCTGTATTCATTTTTTCCAAGAAATGTTGCTTTGCTTCTAAATGTGGGAGCATTAGTTCTACAACCTTTAGTCTTGCAGTGTTTTGAAAAATCTCATTACTGCGTAGATCTGTAGGGTTTGTTTTGTTTGGGGAGGTGGATTTTTGTGAGTATTACTCACTGGTTTCTAGTTGCCTGTCTTGTGCCTGAGGTATTGGGTGTGCTGCTTTGTGACTCATAGGTTTACATGTTCTGTGCTGCTTTGTTAAATTGATACAAGTCCTGTTGGGCAGCGGGTGCCATTATTGTTACATGGTCAATATATATGTTGTCTTTTTCCAAAAAAAAATGTTGTCCGGCCAGAATTGATTACTTTATTTTTCCTGTCCTTCTGTCGTGCAGGGATTGCCGTGTATCAGAAAACACAGTTTGTTTGATTCGAAAGTTGTTACTTCTGGACCCTCAGCAAAGGCTGACAGCAACCGAAGTGCTAGATTCACTGAGCTCCATCATAGCTACATGGTGAGTTAGCTATGTTGCACGTAATTGTTTTGTTGATCCTACCTCTAAACCAATCATCTCTCAACACAGCTCTGGATTTCTTACCATCCTCTCTGCACACTTCACTCCAAACCCATATTGTCAGAGGAACTGCTTTTTGAGGCCCTGTCCAGCTTGCCTGTATCACTAATTGATTGCACGCTTGTAATCAGGAAGAGATTTGCCACCAAGCTGATCCTTTTAAAGCCTCATGTCTCCTTTTCCCTCATCAAATGCCACTGGGAACCTTTGTCACCTGGAGTTGTAAATTCTGTTGAGTCATTTCATAAAGAATTGACTATTTTAAACTTGTGCAGCTAAATATAACTTCTTACAAATTTTAGGGTGTAGCAAAAGCACAATTAGAAAAGTGAACATTCAGCACATTCTCATGAGAATCACTTTTTTTTTAAAACATTTTTTGATCCAGCACTAATGGCTGCTGGCAAGATGCACTAGTTTTTAGACACGAGGTCATCTGTGTGTGTGTCAACACTCTTGCCTTGAGTCATGAGATTCAAACCCCAGCCAAGGCCCTGAGCATTAAAATTGAGGCTGACGCTTTAGTATGGAGGGAGTACTGCACTGTTGATGTCATTCTTCCACCCGGACAATAAACTGAAGTCGCACCTGCCTGCATGAGTAGATATAAAAACATCCCATGGTATTATGTTAAAGAAAAGCTGAGAGTTGTCCCTGTGTCCTGGTCGACATCACAAAAACAGATTATCTGGTCATTATTGCATTGCTGTTTCTGGGAATTTGCTGTGTGCAAATTAACAGTCGCACTTCAAACTTTATAGCTGAAGTAGTAAGTTATCTTCAGACCTCTAGTACGTCTGTAAAAGTGCTGTACAAATGCAAGTCTTTGTCTCTTGAGCCGAGCCACCTTTTGAAATCTCAATTCCCACTACTTCCCTTCTTGCCATGTTGATTAATTTTCTGGAAGATATCTCATTGCCCTGTGAATCCATTGATACTGACTCATTGAGTGAACCTCCTTGACTTCCAAGAGTAGTTCTCGTCACTTCTTTCTTCCTGCCCCAGCTTCCTAAGTTTACACCTGCTTCCCTGAAGATGTTGGTTGCATCAGGTTTCTACTAATGGAACTGTTGCTTCCAAGTGCTTGCTATTTTATTAAAATGCAAATTGGGACATTGCACTTCACCTAAACAATTGATGAACAACAACAGATTTTTCTAATACAGTGCTTCTATATTCTCTTATAGGCAATCTCTTTCGTCACTTCATGGCCCTTTACAGGTGGTGCCAGATATTGATGACCAAGTCAACAATTCAGAAATCCTACAGGAGGTAAGAACCCTTAGACCGGTGTTGCTGTGTCTGATATATTGTACCTTTTTCAGTTTGCTAACAACAGGATTTAAAATAAGTCACCCTGAATCAAGTTACTCTAGTGTGTTAGGTTTGTTTCTGTAACTAGGAATTGATTCAATTTGGCTTGGAATTATTTGCACATAGCATGAGCCCAACCTTGCAAGTAAGCAATCTTTTGTTATACTGCTTTATGACCCAGGGGGTGTTTTAGCCTGACTTGTAATATATTATTTGTCATTGAATCTGTAAAATTTGCTGCTAATTGCCTTTGACCCCTTTTATGTTTCTGCTGTTAATTTGGCAGTTAGTGCTTGGTTTAAGTTGCAAAGAATCCAGGATTTTGGACATGGACTCGACCAGGGTGTGTGCTTGGATTGATCTGCCCAGTTTACCATGCAGTATGTCCCTGAACTATAGCTCTTGGTACTGAATCACGATCACTTCAGTCAATTGAGCAGGTTGCTGACATCACTTCTCTTTTTGAAGACTGGTACCTTATCCACTGGCAACTCATTAAAGCTACTATTCTTTGTTCTTTTTCATTCCTAGTGAGTGCTGACTACCAAGCGATGAATGTTGTTATTTGACCACGAGGGGCATCGTAGCCAACTGAGTTCTATTCTTTTCTAACAGCTGTACACACTCTGAAAAAAGTAACACTGAGTAATAACCAGGCATAGGTCCGGGTGCTGAGACCAGTGTGAAAACAAGATGGCACAAATTTAATGAAATTGTCGAAAGAAGCAAAAGTGAGATGAGAGAAAGCTTTTTCATGCTGTATGTGGTTAAACTCTGGAATGCACTGGCTGAAAGAATAGTAGAGGCAGGTTCAATTTTTGCATTCGAAGGGGAATTCAACTCTTTATTTAGAAGAGGAACAAAATACATGGTTATAGGCAGCAGGCAGGAGAATCGAATTGCACAAAATACTTATTTTAGAGAGTTGGTGCAAATATGATGGGCTGAGTGCCCTTTGTTTGCACCATGACAATTGTGATACTTCCTGATTTCTCCTCCAATAGCCTAGCGCAAATTCTTTTTTAAAATATTATGGCTGCTTTTCTTTGGAACCCACTCACCAAATGGAAAGAGTATCTGTCTTTGCATTGACTTAGCTCTATTTATTGTTAAACTCTGTGATTACATCACCCCTCAGTCTTCTAAACTCAAGGGAATTCAAGCCATGTTTATATGTTGGACTTGTGTTCAGTTTAATCCTTTTGAAGCTATGATTGTTCCAGTGTACCCTGCATTGTAACTCTTCCATGGCCATGGTTTTTCAGCCCCCTCACTGAACAAAGCTGAGTGCCACAGTGGCCTGATGAAAACCAATAGCTTCCTCACTCTTTTTTTAACTTCCTTGAGTTAGAGGCCAACATTCCATTTCCCTTGGTGCTTGACTGTGTTTGTGCGCTAGGTTTTAGTGATGTGTTGAGATTTACTTAAATACCTGTGCTCGTCCACAGGTCTAGGCTCTTTGCGTTTGTTTATTCTGATTTGTGTTTTAGATTCAAAGTGAATGACCTCTCTCTTGCCTGCAATGAGTCTTGCCTGTCACAGTTTTGTTCATTCCCTTTTGTCTGTCTTTTTACCTTTCCACTGCCTTTTGCACTCTTTGCTGTGCCTCCTAATTTAGTGCCATTTGTAAACTTAGATTTACAACTTGCAGGCTGTTTTCAATCAAACCAGTAATATATAGATTACAAAAAAATTAAAGCCTCCATCCAGATCCCTAGGAGAAAGAGGATAAATTAGTCATCCTTGAAGTATAATTGAATGTTGAGCTGTGAGTAGTTTTGATGGAAATAAAAACAGCAAGTGCTGGAGAACTTCACAGAAGAGTCATCGTACTCCAGATATTAACTTTGTCTCTCTCTATGGATGCTGCCTGACATGCTGTGTTCTCCAGCACTTTTTTGTTATATTTTTGAATTTTGATTCGCATTCAAGATTTATTCCTGGTTCGACATTGATGTTGTGCAGTCATCACTGATCCCAGAGTTAGCAATGTGTTGGAATTGGTGATTATTCATTGTTGAAGGGCTGTGCAAAAATCATTAATTTAATTGGCCTTTTCAGTCATCAGTATTATCAAATTGGGTGCTAGAGACCAGCCGTCAGCCTTGTCCATCTTGATTTTTGTTGCTGTTGCTCAATAACAGTCCTTCAAGTAAGCCGAGGTTTCTATAATGGGAACTTTTTCTACTGCTGATGGACAGTACAATTGATCTAGACTGACGTGTACAATCTTGTGTTTTAGTTATGTACGTTATAATTTGTGCAGGTTCACATGTTGAGATGCAAGAGGTTGAGCTGTGTGTTCTGACCACTCCTTCAGTCGAGCTTGAAGGAACATTGGAAGGCAGTAGACTGATGAATGGAGTGTTGCCAGCAATCAAACATTTTGTTTAAAATTATAATTAAATTTTTCTTCATTTTGTGGTGCCTGAGCTTAAATCCAGCCAAGAATTTCAGTTTAAAGCCTCGCCTCTGGTTGAAAGAGGGCTCTAATGTAAAAGAAATATTGGCAGTCTCTTTTCAAATACAGAACTAGACACTCATTTGCTGTAAATTCATTCTTGTGTTCAAAGACTGCAATCTTCTGTGGGAAAGGGCCACACACCATCAACTTGTTAGGATGGAGGCACATTGGGACAGTGCAGAGTTAAGTACCACAGTTTGCTCTGCATCAAGTGATTAAATACCACAAATGGAAAAAAGCGTACTATTTTCTAGTACTAATTTGCTGTGCTAAACAGAAATTTCACCGAAACCACATGTAAGTTCAAATACTGGCTCTTAACTGCTTCCTGTACAGCACTGTGGCCCTGTTACTGACATGATATATTCAGACTCCACGTTTAATGTGATGTGCTTAAAGTCACTTTTTTAAAATGTTCTTTTTGAGGAATTCATTTCACTGAAATGGAATGGTGTGTCCTTTTACTACATCCAACTAAACTATGAAAGCACATGTCAGTGCACTTCAAAGATTTGGTTCCAAACATAGATTGCACCAAGAGTTTGAATTACTAGGGGTGAAGTATGAGGTGGCAAGCACGTAGCCGTACTCTCTGCAACCGCAGTCTAAAGACTGGACACAGGAACAGGAGTAGACCATTCAGCCCATTGATTCTGCTTTGCCATTTAATACAGTCATTGGCTGATGGAACACTTCAGTGCCTTCTACCCACTCTATCCCCAGAACCCTTTCAGAAAATCTGTAACCTCTATTTTCTTTAAAGACTGAGCTTCCATGTCCCTCTGGAGTGTAGAATTCCAAAGATTCACAACCCTCTGAATTAATATAAATTCTCCTCGTCGCCATCCTTGATGCCAACTCACTTATTTTTAAATTTATGCTCCCTGCTTCCAGACTACCCCCACCAATGTCTAACGCTTTTCAGTGTTTTGTAGGTTTCAATTAGGTTGCCTCTCGGTCTTTGAATCTCTGAAGAGTATGGTTCCTGTTTGTCCAATCTCCTCCTCATTGGATAGTCCCGCTATCTTGGGACCAAATCTGGTGAACGTGACAGTGCCATAGTTTTCCATCCTCTGTATTTACACCACACTACTGTGGGTGTGTGCGCGCGCGCGCGGCAGCGGGGGATGGCCATGAAAAAATGCACTTTTTAAAAACATTTCGCTTTCCTTCTTAGGCAAAAGTCACAGAAGAGTCCTCCCAATATGAATTTGAAAACTACATGCGGCAGCAGCTGATGCTGGCTGAGGGAAACACTATGCATGAGGTGAAGAGTTTTGCACACAAGCGACAGTTCAGCAACATCCCACCAGTGCGACGACTGGGCCACGATGCTCAGCCCATAAATCCCCTCGATGCAGCAATCCTTGCTCAGCGTTACTTGCGGAAATGACAGCTGGACACAGCATCTGAAGCTCCACAAGCCAAGTTCACAGCACAGTAATACTCATCATGCCACGTAGTACCAATCCTGAGCAATACAGTATTCTGTGACCAATATGTAGCATTGGATGGAATCTCTTCGAAAGGATAACTGTTATTTTAAGAGATGACTGAAGATGGCTTTTTTTATATATCAATATAAAGAAAGGACAGTATTGCAACATCGTCTGGGGCGGTAGTAGATGTTTAGTTTTTACTTTATATAATCTACCTCTTTCTTCATTTAACCAAGACATTCTCAGAACTATAGACTGAGCTAAGTTTTTCGTCCTATGTTGTGATTCTGAAAAGAACTTGTACTGCAAGAGATTTTGAGAGCATTAAGAATTGGGTGTGTTCATTCGCTGTGGAGTCCCTTTTGCCTGCATTACCCGCTGAATAATAGAGTAAAATGTAGCTTGTTGGGGTTTTTCTTCCCCCTTTTGTGAAACAGATTTTCGAGAAGAATTCAGTGTGGTACAAAATGCCCAACAAAGGAAAATGTGAAGGAAAGAAAAATCAGTTGATTCGCAGATATGTTGTTTTTACTGCGCTTAACAGCAAAGATCATGTTAGTTGGCTTGTCCCATGTTTTTCTAGTCACTTTTATTTTGGGAATTTGAAAGCTGTCAGCTTGGAGGTTGAATTTTTTAAAAAAAAATTTCATGACATACTTCAGCAGTTGTTTGTGATCCAGAGCCACTGGAATTTGTCAAGTTCATTGAGCTGCAGAAACTGTTAGAACACTAAAGAACAGTTGGGTGTGTCATTTCTTTTATTTTACAAGCTCAGGGAGAACATTCAGCATTGCCGCTAGGATTTCACGAAAGCATTGAGCGTGAGAGATTCCCACACAACCACACGTGGTGCTTTAGCACCCAGTAGTGGTTTTGCCCTTTCATACATCTCTTGAGTGGATATAGTCTTCGAACTTCTAAAAGGCTGGTGGTAGGAGGTCTCTGTGGTGGGAGTGATTTTGAGATGAATTGGCTGTCTCATAGTCGAATGGATGGACAGAAGTGTAGTTTGGTTTAATATCAGTAGACCTGGTGACAACTTGACATTGTTGCAATTCTGATTATTCGTTGAGTCCCTTCAGTTTTGGTTTCACTGCACTAAGTGCACGGGGTTTGTAACTGTAAAATGTTCATCACCTGCAAAAGTGGCCAACTGGACAATGATGAGGCAAGTCTTTATTTTACTGTGACTTTTGCACAGATTTTGTGTTGCTGCATGGACCATTTTGTCTCATGTCTGCCTCTTTCCCCTTGCCTGTTTTCTGGTGGTGTGCACTCTTCTCTAGGTAGTGATGGACCTTTTTGATTTACTGTTTTAAGTGGCCATCACATTAAACAATGGTCATGCTCAGCCCATCCTCTATCTTACCACGTATTGGGGAATGATTCGTCTGGCTCAGGTATAAAGCTTGTACCTTTTGGGGATCCATCAATGCATCAGGCTTGCGCAATCTGATCTTTTCAGATCTGTTTTAGCTTGCTGTCAGTTCCAGAAGAGTCACCAGCGAAGAACATACTCATATTAAAAGGGTCTGTGTAATAGATAATCTTACTCCAGCCCCACAAAGATTGAGGGTCAGATGCGTTCCTCCTGATTGACAGTCCATACTCCTCGTTTTGGTGATCTGTTTTCAAGGCTGGGTCTTGGGAGTATCATTTAACCTCAGCACAAATTACTTATGCCAGCCAAATGTTGCCTAAGTGACTTGGAATGATGTTGGGTTGATTTTTTTTTTTTTTGTTTTTGTTTTTTGTCCCCCATTTTAATGATGGGAGGATATGTACAATGATTCCAGGGTGGTCTGCAGTAACATGGAGCTTGGTGTACGTTTTTTTTTGTGTGTGGTGAAACTCAAAGAAGTTGAAAGCCCTCGATGTTGAGAATTTCAGTTAGTATTGAAACCAGTGATAAATGCCTGTCTTGCCCAAGTTGAACCTGTGAAAATATATAAGGACTTGAGTAGATTCAAGTCAGTTTGTTTCACATGTAACATTTGAGGGAAGGTTTGGTCCCTTGTGTGATTGGTGGTTATACAAAGAAACCTCTGCCGTTCAGGGATGATCACGAGTGATCTCTGGTCAGTGCGAACTTGTAGATTGTTTTTGTTGGGAGGGGAGAGAAATGCTGTGATGCTGTCAAAAGTTATTTATTAAATACTGTGTGTTCCTCATAAAGCTTTATACTGTGTGATTGGGTGAACAAATTGAATGCTTGGGGTGGGGTGAAGTTTTTGGTTTTACATTGACTGATTTATAACATTCTGCAGATCTTTGAGTCCTTGTGGAAGTGGCTTTTCTGGTGCTAGTGTGTATATTGTTGGGACAATCTGCAATGCCTGTCCATTATCATGCAACAGAAACATGCATACAGAGTTGAAGTCCTGAAACCCTGTACTGCAAATGCTTGCTTGTATTAATGAGACAGTTTTCATGAAGTCTCACCCGTCCATTCAGTGCTTCACTAAAATGAGTTCCAAGAGCTCCTGATTCCACCATTGGGGGACAACTTGGATAAGTGAGTGTGTCCCATTTTTGAGTATGGTATTTTAATCAGTTTAAGTGGAATACAGTAGCAGTTTGTGATAAGACTCCAATATGAATGCAATAAAGCATAGAAGGTCTTAAAAAATGTATAAGTAAATAATTTTTTGAATGGCCTTTAAAGGCCAAGGTAGCTCTAAATGGTGCGACAGGAGGGTTGTTGAAGAAACGGTGCCAATTTCACTGACCAGCTTGAGTTGGATCTGAAGATATTGTGATGCTGGTAGAGTGGTGTTTGAGTTGAGGTCTCAATCCATGAACTTTGCACTCGTTCATCCTTAATGTATTCTAGTTGGAAGCTTGCATTTTGGAATCGGAGGCTGTAACTGTCTCTTAACTACAGTGCTCAGGATCCATGAAAATTAGTTTTCTGGGCCCTCATCAGTACTCTGGAATTCAGCTTCGTGTAGTAGGTGTTATTAATGGTGAGGTAACTATGATTTTGCCACTGAGGGCACATCAGAGCTGTAAAGGATGAAGGGTTTCACCAAAGACCCTGCTGTGTTACTATTGGGTCTTGGCTCGTGGTTATCCAAAAATAACTGCTTCGAGGAGTGCAGAGCCCAATGGAGAGATCAGCAGAGGCGTAGCCCCATCACTTGTGGCATCGTAGACTGTTTCTTCAACTCCTCATTCACTGAGTTCTCTGAGCCTTACTCCAGTCTGGCTGCTCCAGTTACCTTTTACTTTTGTAATACAATAACTTGTATATAATTTCTGATAACCTTAATTCAGTGAAAAGGCAAAGTATTACAATTCCTCACAATTAGGAGCTGTGGCTTTTTACTTTATCCTGGGAAATCTTTTTATTGAGCAATTATTTTGTTGCCCTTGAATTATGTCTTCATGGTAAAAGTGATTATCTAATCAGACTGGAATAATGCAGCAGCCCATGCATGTTGATGATTTGTGTGCTTTGAGCTGCCTCTGGGTGTACCAATTGAAGTACGTCGTATAAGATGTCAGTAGAAAGGAATTGTGATCATTGTATACAAATTTGTATAAATAAAGATGACATATTTTTGTACTTCATTTAAAATCTACTTGCATGTCAGCAATAAATTTCATACTGTAGAGATGTTCATTTTGACTTGTGGTTGAATGGGTTCATATCAAGTTACCTGCTATTAGTCTCAAATGGAATGATGCATAGTTGATCTCAATTACAAAGACCATGGTGTTCAGGGATGCGGCTCCTTTTGAATGAGGCAATTGTCATTTCAGGTCATGAGTTGCCTCAGCCATACTCCCAAGCCAGATGTAGCCCAGATACAGCCTAAAATTTCCTCTGTATAGTTTCCTTTGATCATGGGACTGTATTATACAACTATTCTAATGTCATTCAGGCTGTAAGATGCCTACAGTAGAAATGGTCTTATTTGTTGCATTGCTACAGCATGGCTGAATTTTTAGTGCTTGAGCTAGTGACCAGGTTTATTCAACTTAGGCTGTGTATTCTCTTTTGAAGTGGGAAAACTAGCATTCCTTAGAATTATTATCCCTGGTCATTTATGTCACTGCTATTTGAGGCCTTGGTGTGTGTAAATTTTATGCTGCCTTTCCAACAAAGTGAATAAATATTTATTAGTACTTAGAATATTTTTAAGAATATTCTAGTGAGTATTTTCCCGTCCCTTTCTAATGAACTTACCAACCTCAATTGGCAATATCTCCCCTTCTCCCAGGTAATTTTATCACCCCTGCTGTATTCCTTTTTGGTTTGTTTTCTCTAAAAATCACCCCATATTGTTTGGAGATCAGTCACTGAACAGCATCTGGGATGTCTTTAAGTTTGTGAAAGAAACGAATATTTATTCTTTCATGTGACATAGGTGTCACTGATGAGACTAGTTATTGTCCTCCCCTAATTGTCCCAACACTGAGTTGATTGCTCAGCCATTTCAGCAAGTAGCTAAGAGTCAACCACATTGCCTTGGATTAGAGTCACATTTAGGCCAGGATGGCAGATTTCCTTCTCTAACGGACATTTGTGAACCAGGTGGGGTTTTACAAAAATTGGTAATTAATAATTAAGTTGTCAGTTTTCTATTTGACTGACTTAATGAAATTTAAATTTCACCACTTGTACAGGTGGGAATTGACCCCACATTCCTCCAACACTTGTGCAATTCTTAGTTGAGAAATAGAGCGTAGCAGTGTAACACTAATGTTCTATCAGCCAATTAGCTAAGAGCAGGGAATCAATCCAAGCCTTTCCTAGTCTGTTCCACTCCTGACTTCCTACAGATTTATTTTTCAAAAGGGCCAGAACATATCTTGTTCAGAGTCCATTCATATACACAAAAGTAATAATACTTTTGATGTCTCAATGGTGTTCTCTGCTATACTGTTCAAAATCTGCGTCTCTAATTTCTCTCAAGGTTAGGAGTTTTTAAAGTTATAGGTTGTCCTATGCAAAACATGAATGCTGTGTTATCAGAACATGTTGAGTTGTTCACACAAGGCTGATAATATCTGCATTCCCTACAGCGATTGCCTTTCTGTACACTTCACATTATTAGTCTGCTTCATGTTGCTGTGCTGCGTTCTCTTGTTGAGATGGTCCACTATAGTACTCCATTTTTGCTGTGAAATAGAAGGCTGTGTCGAAGACCCACTTAAGACAACCGAGTGCAAAATCTATTCTGTTGCTGCGGTACAAAAATGAAGATGTTGCACGTAAATCCTTGGAGACCCAAAGTTGAAGCCATGCCTACGTTTTCAAGTCACTTGGGATACTATTTTTTTTGAGAGCAGACCAACAGTACCTCCCAATGTCTTAGTGCCCTTAAATGTTTGTTGCTGTAATGCTTCCATTAATTTTAAGTTTAGTTATTGTTTATTTTCATTGCACTAACTTTAACTTCATTCTCAGTGCCTCTGCAATTACTACATGTGACTGCAAAGGCAGCTTTGGATGTAGCTACAGGCACAGATCGCCCTCTGGGGACGATGTGCTATTATGACATGATGTGCACCATATACTGTAACAATGAAGGCATAAACTGATTTTTTAAAAAAAAACCGAAAGAACTGTGGATGCTATAAATCAGGAACAAAAACAAAGTTCCTGGAAAAGCTCAGCAGGTCTGGCAACATCTGTGAAGAAAAAAGAAATCGGAGTTAACGTTTCAGGTCTGGTGACCCTTCCTCAGAACTGGATTTGAGGAACCAGTTCTGAGGAAGGGTCACCGGACCTGAAACATTAACTCTGATTTCTTTTTCTTCACAGATGCTGCCAGACCTGCTGAGCTGTTCGAGCAGCATCTGTTTTCATTCAAGCCATAAACTGGTAGCAAGTTCAACAATTAGTCATGAAAGTAGTGCAGATATTTTCATCATTCCTTTTCAATTAACTTATCAGCTCTATTTAGCAGTAAATCTCTCACCCAGATAAGTTCACTGCCCCTGCTGAGTTGTATTCATTTTTGGTTCATGTGTTGCTCTCTCAAATGGCCAGCCCTGCATTGTGTTGAGATTAGTGTTTATGCTTGATGAAGGCGAGTGAGAGAAAACACTTGGAGAAGAAAGTTGCTATGGTTCATTTTAGAATGGACTACCAAGCATAGCTCCTTCCAGAACGTTAACCATGACTATTGATTTAACTGAGCAGGCTCATGGGGCTTTAATATCTAACCTGTTCCCAGTCCTTATGTTCTTGAGGGCTAAATGCAAGATTGAACTGTGTCTAAAATGTAAACCATACCATTCTTTAAAGTTTATTCTTGGATCTTTAGATGTGGTGTCATTCAGCCATCTCCTGATAATCTTTTGAGGATTTTGTTCTTGAGGATTGGGTTTGCCTGATGCTTGTGTAGGAATAGTCCTCCTCACTGCTACACCCTGTCAAGACTCCAACACTGTCAGTAGAACTTTGAATTTAAAAAGCCACCATTTGCCCTAGAGGACTGCTGTGAGAGAGAGAGGAAGGGGGAAGACCGCTCAGGCAAGGGGTGAAGTTGAGGAGACGGGAACCTCCCGCCAATGTGGAAAAAGAACCCTCACCTGTTGGCATCACACTGCATTACAAACCCCTGACCCTCAGTGAAATGCTGTCAATCATAGCAGCAGGTGGCCATTCAGCTCATTGTATCTGTGTTGTCTGAGCATTTTAACTTGGTGTCAATTTCCTGCCTTTTCTCTGCAACACTGCACTTTCTTTCTAAATAATTACTGCCTCAATTGAACCTGCTCCATCACACTTTTTCAGGTAGTACATTTCAGGTCCTAAACACTCACTGAAAATAGGTTCTCAATTTCTCTAGCCACTCTGTAAAGACCCTTGATGATTATGAAAACATCTCTTAAATCTCCTTGGGTTTCTCTTCACCAAACAAAACAGTTCCACCCTCCAATCTTTCCTGATAGCTGAAATATCTCATCCCTAGAACCATTTTTGTAAACCTGTTCTGAATTCTTTCCCCAGTGCGTTTCCATCCTTCCTATCTGCAGGTGGCACAGTGGTTAGCACTGCTGCCTCAGTGCCAGGTTTCAGTTCCACCCTCTGGCACCTCTGTGTGGAGATTGCATGTTCTCTGTGTCTGCGTGGGTTTCCTCGCACTGTTCAAAGGTCTGCGATTTAGGCAGATTATACTTGTAACCCTGCATTTACCATGGCTAGAGTAGGGGGATGTTCTTTAGAGGGTCACTGGACTTAATGGGCCAAATGGCACATTGTGGGGATTCTCTGATTGTGGTGTGGAGCCTAGAACAGTACTCTGATTAGACCTCAGCCAGTGTTTTGTATATGTTTTTAGTAACTTCCTTGCACTTGCTTTTGTTCCTAGGGCAATAGACTTCTTCACCTCCGTGTGGGTTCCCTATACTCACTTTTCACCATCATTCATGGCACTGCTTTGTGTCTCCCCTGCTGATGGAGAGGTTGTAGGGCATTGCCATAACTTGTTACAACACCTACCCTATGAGGAGGGGCCTACCTACCTTCTCTTCATTTGTATTATAAAGTAGAGGATCATCTGCATCAAGCTCATCTACAACTTGTTTTGGACCAGATTGTGCGTTAGATTTTTATCTATGACCTCAAGAGTTTAATCACCCTATATCAGGATGGACAAGAGTTGGACAACAGCAACATGTGTGATGAATTGTTCTCTGTTTGAGTGTATGGTGTGCCTATATGATAAGATATTAAGGAACTGGCCCATCTTTGAGCAATAATTTGAGAGTCCTGTTTGCAACAACTCAGGAAGCCTGACGGGAAAGGAAATCTTTTTTGTTGAACACAAAAATAGAGGTTTTTGTTTTAAACTACTAACTATAACCAGTAATTTTCTATGTACCCAATTAGAAGCGTACATGCAAAGCTCACTATGGCTGATGCAAACCATCAAAGGTGAGGGAGAGCAGGAAGGGGCTAGATCAAAATGGAGTTGGAGGGGGAGATAAACCTCTCTGTTCCCCTACTCTCTGCACCTCTCACTAAAAGCATCTAGAGTATTGCTAGAGACCCAGACACAAAGGTAGTGACAGAAAAGGGGCAGAGAGCTGCTATTACCCTCTTCTACCTGCTGCCTGGACCTCTTTAAAGCCAGCCAGGCGCAGACCTTAGAAGAGGTTCTCTGATCTGCCCAAACCCCTCCACAACAGATGCCCAAAGATCAGGAGAGGGTGGGGCTGAGTTGCAACAAAAAGTACAGCAAAAGATTTTATTAAGTAACTGAAAAGGCTGTACAGTCACTCACTACCACTATAAATGTGCTCCATGGACTTAACAGCACTGCAAAATAGACAGTTGTGTTCAGGCTTGGATGTCCCTGGAGAAGGAGCACATGGTGTCCATCAACACTCTCACTGTCTTTAGGCAGAGGTGGGCATCCTGAGGTGTGGAGTGCTATATTTCCCCTCCAACTCTATTATGACTCAATCCCTATCCTCTCCTTCACCTTTTAGTTCATGTAAGCATTGCCCCTAGGAGCTCTGCTTATTACTGGTTCTTTGGTCACAAGGATGTCTTTTCTAATTGTGGCAAATTAATAAAATTATTGTACACTTGGTGTTTTTACTGTGCCTCACACCTACACATGCTCATGGGTGCTGGGGAAAAGAACCCCCATAAGTTTAAAA